TTCAAACTTCTTTCAGTTTTAGAGAGAAAATTTGCGTCTGTCCAGGGCTAGAGTGAGCAGAAAAGTGCTCTTTGTTGCTTCCTTGCTTCCCTCTTTGTCCTTTTACTCCATGGGGCTATTTCTGTTTACAATTTCAAGGCGACACTGTCAAAAGAGTTTGGGTTTCAAAAGTTAACTTAGTGTATATGAAGGAATATTTGTCTCCCATCTCTTGGTAATCAGGATTGATGGGACTGCAGTTAACATCTTAATATTATTGCTTGCTCTGCAATGTGTAGAGACATATGAAATATGGATATGTTTTACTTTCTATTGTTTTAAAATTTTTGGCTTTTCTTTGTCCAGTATGCCAAGTCAGATGCTGCTGTCTAAACAAAACCCATAATTTACTTCCAATGGAATGTTGTGTGTGTGTGTGTGTGTCAAAATGTGATGAGCTGCAATCTATCCTCCACTCTTTATGGTACAGATGTAGCTTGGTGCAATGGCTAGGGGATCATGCTGTATTTACATTTGTCCAAAGCAATGCAGATTTTAGGCAAATAATGCATTTTTCTTCCATTTAATATAGGATCATAGAATTATATAGCTTAGAAAAGATCATAGAATTATATAGCTTAGAAAAGACCTTTAATGTCATCAAGTGCAACAATTATCCAGCTCTGCCGAGGCCACCACTGAACCATGTTCCCAAGTGCCACTTCTGTGCATCTTTTAAATGCCTCAAGGGATGGTGACTCCACCAATTCCTTGGGCAGATGTTCCAGTGCTTGACCAACCTTTGGTGAAGAAATTTTTCCCCATGCACAATCTAAGCCTCTCCTGGCACAATTGAAGCAGTTTCCTCTTTTCCTGTTGGTTGGTACATTGGAGGAGAGACTGACCCCCACTCAGCCCCTCGATCCAGCCTTTCCAGATCCCTCTTCAAAGCCTTCCTGCCCTCCAGCAGATGAACACTCCTGCTCAGCTTGGTGTCATCTACAAACTAACTGAGAGTGCCCTCGATCTCCTCATCCAGTTGAAGGTGTTAAACAGGACTGGCCCCAGTGCTGAGCTCTGGGGAACACCAGTTGTGACTGGCTGCCAGCTGGATTTCCCTCCGTTCACCACCCAGCAATCCAGACAGTTTTTAACCCAGTGAGCAGCAGAATCATACACCTGAGCAGCCAGTTTCTCCAGGAGAATGCTGTGAAACAAGGTGTCAAAGGCCTTCCTAAAGTCTAGGCAGACAACATCTGCACCCTTTCCTTCATCTGCTAAACGGGTCGGCTTGTCATAGGGAGATCAGGTTAGTCAAGCAGGACCTGCCTTTCCTAAACCCATGCTGGCTGGGTGTGATCTCTGGTTGTCCAAGGAGTGTGTCCAGATTCCCTTCCCTAAGGAATTAGGAAATACAGTTCTGACTTCTGGAAAGGTCTTGTGAGCCAGTCTCTCCTGGGAGACGCAGTAGAAGCAGGAAAAGGATGTCCTGTAACAAGAATATCATGGTATGCAAGTATAGGCTGTGTATTAAGAGCAAAAGGCTGTAGCACATGCATGGGAGATGAGGATGAAAAGCAATGTTTTCCTTGACAGCATTTTATATGAAATTGTGAGGAGGTTTTATAGCAGGCAACAGCCAAAACTCATAAAAACCCCAGAGGTTTGCTTGGGTGCTGGGGACTGACTGTGTGTGGGTGTCTTGTCTATGAAAAAGTTCCAGCTGTATCAAATAATCCCAAATAATCAGCTGTCCATCTCCTAGACCATTAGTTTTCTTGTCTTGGTGCTGCTTTTTGAATTTGCTGAAAGGTTTGCAATGTCAATTACAACCAGATGGTGAGATAACTCGTTCTATATGTCAAAGTGCTCAGATGGCAGAGCAACAAAACATGGAACACTTCTCAGAAAAATAAAATAGGTTTGGGTGCTGGGAAAAAAAGAGCAAATTTGAGGAGTGGTTTCCTTTGTGCTGGACACTGGGGAGTATTTGGGAAGGGTGGGAGTTTGCTGGGGAGGAATCAGTAAAGTAACTAGAAACCCTGAGGTCCACATGTTTGGAAGATACCAAGCATGTTTAAGAGTCCCTACTGATTCCTCTCAAATAGATTATCAACACAGAATGATTTCTTTTTTTGTCTGTGTTATTCACTGTAGTTAATTTAATTTTGAAATATAACAAGACCACCTTTTGATGCTTTTCTCCTCTGCCTCTTGAGGATGTATCAGGTGAAGATCATCTCTAAGCTTGTTTGGTAAAACTACTCATCTCTTATGGCAACTGCATATGTAATCCAAAGGGTCAGTTAATGTTGTCTTCTTAAAATTGTAAGTAGCTGTAACACTTAAATTTTCTTTTCCTCTCTCTTCATAAAGAGTGTTTCAGTAATTAATCAGTGGCCTGGGTAATTTCTGCTTTAGCTGTCTCAGTGGGAGGGAGCAAGATCGTAAACAGTCTGCTATCAAATAATTGTGTCCTGACAAAAAAGATGTCTTTTCCCTATTTTTATTAAACTCAAGGAAAATAGGATGTGTAAAGGCAGGTGTCAAAGGGATTCTCCTTTACATTCTCATGTACTTTAGTGAGCACTGTGGGATATCATGACTGTAGGCCCTTTTAGGGGAGAAATTATTCAGAGTTACAGGTTGTTTGGAATATTTGCAGAGCCATGTAGAAACCAAATTGCTTTTTATAAAGCTGCTGTATATCATCATTTCCTTGTGATAATACTGAGCAGTTTTTCATTTGTAAAGCTGTATGAGCTCACCCACGAAACATAAACATTAAACCCATCTTTTTAAGATTCAGAAAACAGGAGCTATGTCTGTGTTCGTCAACACTTGGTAATGATTTCCCAGTAAAGGAGGAGGAGGAGAAGAAATCCCCATGGGGAAATCCTTCTGAAATGGGTGTGCTTAGGCATGCAGGAGTTGTCCCAGAACGATTTCATGGGAAGCAGAAATCAGTTCTTTGGGGAATTAGTACTTTGATGTGGACAACCTTACTGATTGTGCAGGCTCTTTACACCCAGAACTAAATTATGTAAGACTTTTAAATGTTATTTTCTTCTTCTTGTATCAATCTAAAAACTTCCACTGAATAAAACCAGACAAAAAAGTGTGAGGAAGAATTTTATGATCTATGTTAGTTTTTCATTGCTGGGCCAATTTATTTTCTCCAGTTGCTAATACTTTCCAGCTCCTGAGCATCCAAGTGAGCTTTCCATACACACACCCTCATTCCTTAGTGGAGATGAGGAAAAACCTGCAGTGATTCACAGCATGCTCACTGCCTACCCTGGCAACGTTAGCCATACCCACAGTCCTTGTTGGTTCAAAGGGATAGCAGCAAACCCTGCTTTCTCTGCCAAAATATACAAATAGACTCCTGAACGCCAAGTTATCAGTGTCTCAGAAATGAGTGAAACCACTGTATTGTTGTTGTATGTGCCTTGGAAAGAGCTGTTCCTTGGAGATCAGCACAGGAGGGCAAATAGTTAATCATTGCTTTATCAAACAGTAACCGTCTCCTAAATTGAGGTCCTGAAAATAACACTACAAAAATGCCAGAGGAAAGTTCCAGTCTGCTTGTTTGTGACTGTGAGGGTGGTTTTTACTGGTTAATGAATCCAAAGAGTGTTTGTATGCTCTTAACCGGGATTTAAGAGTTCAGGTAATTCCACTTTCAGCTCCAGTAGTTTGGCATAAGAATGTAATTCAGAAATGTGTGACATGGCAATGAAGGAATTCATGCACAATCCTCATACTTTACGAGGATGATTTTTTCCTGGTTTTCCCTTTGGTTTATATCCAAATAAACATATTTGTAGTAAAGCACAGTACCCTGTAGTGCCTTGCAAAATACTCTCCCCATTTCTCAGCAGAATGGATAAAAGAGACTTTTAGCTGTTAATCTTAAAAAAAAAACATTGTGTAAAGCTGGCATTGAGGTATTCAGGTGTTCCAGGTCTTGTGTAGATGGAGTGAGATTTGTTGTGCAGTGTCTCATCTTCCAGTTCTGTACTTTCGCCAGCTAATTCACACAGTACAATTGATTTCCCAGCTGGTAACTAGTTTTGCCATTGTTACTTCTGTGCTTGTAATTGCACTTTGAGGTTGGCAGGTTGGCTCAGGCTGTGAGATTCCCAGAGGATGGATGTTTTCCCAGCAGGGAGAGCGCAGGGGCAGAGTGTCTCTCTGGTAGAACAGGAGGAGGCAGTTGGTGAGATGTGCTTGTGTTAGGTGGTGTTTGTGTGCAGCCACAACCTTTCCTGGTGTGGTAACCAAATGATGGTCTGAGATACCCTGATAGCTTTGACTTAGCTAATAAAATCTCCCACACAGCGTTTAATAAACTATAACCCAACCTTGGCTTTTTCACCTTTTGACATTTGATTCACTTTAGCTGCTCTTTCTAGGTATGCTTTGGAGACCATCCCTATGGATGAATCTACTGAGTAGATTTTGCCCCAGAGCAGGGAATCAGCCTGTGGAAAATTGCAGGCAACCCAGAAGGATTTGGCAGAGATGTCCTGGTAGATTTGGGCTTCATCCATCTGCCGTCATCTACCTTTGTTCTTGTTAAAACACCTTGGTGTAATGGAGTCCACAAAGACTTTGATGGAGTCTGTCTGTGTTGATGGATGCAAAGGACTTAAGGCCAGCTTAGTTGTTTGGGATATGGTGATGGACAGCAGATCAACAGCTTTGGGGATAAACCAGATAGCAGGACAGCAGCAAATACAACTCAGCAGTGCAGTTATTCTTAGGCGGTGCCAGATGCCTACATATCTATAAATAGCTCTATCCATAATGTGACCATTGTCCTGTGTGTGCTCATGGAACCACATGGGACTGCTGCAGGAAGCAACAGATGCCTCCCACATGGCTAGCAGGGGAGAGAATGGTTTCTATCTCCCTTGGTGAAGGTGTTGCAATGCCAGTTTGGGTGTTGGGACTGCTCTCAGCCATGCTGACCCTTGCACCTGGTGACTCTTTCTTCTTCTTCTTCCCCCTTCTAGGAGCTGAGTGTTGTGACCTGCCTTGCTTCTCCCTGCTCGGTGTGGGAGCAACCTGAGGAAGATCTTGGAGCCACCTGTACTGCTTCATGCAGTTAAAGTAAGGTTAAATGTTTTGGCAGCTCTTTTAGGTATACACGAGGATTGAGATGAGGGGTTTGGGAGAATGGGTTTGCCCATTGTCAAACTTAGCCTTGACAGGAGGAGGAAATGGTGATACCAAAGCAATTACAATGATATAAACAAATTCTACAAGTTATTTGGCCATAAAATACAATCTCTTTGTGGTGGGGTTAGAAAAGGGATATGTGGTGTTGCCTCCTGTATCAACCAGATGCCACGGTATAAAATAGCACTTAACACTTAAAACATCAGCTGTTTTTCGCTAATATTTTAAGATGGAGCTTTCATGTCCCTGGGGCAGGCAGGCATATGGTTACAGCCCCAGGATTTCCATGGGAGCTGGCTGGGATCAGAGCTGAGGTGCCTCCTGGTTGGCACAGCGGCTGTCAGTCTGTCTGCCCCGGAGCAGTTGTGGTGTGGAGGCTTCTGGGTTTGTTGTTCAGCTAACACCAGCTTCTTGGTGTGGTGAACCAGATCACAGGATGGATCTGACCTAAAAACGAGTATATGGTTACTGCAATGCTGACAGGAGCTGTTTTGACTCATGGAGTTACACCCTTTCGCTCCAAAAAGACGTGAATGTGCAAAATCTGTTAGCCTGAAGCAAAGAAACTGCCAGTCTTGCCTGGAAATGGGTGCTTGCCATGTGTGCGCTCTGTCAAGGCAGGGAGGGAGGAAAACCACTGCAAGCTGTCTCTTTTCTCCTCCCACTGTCCCTAACCTGTTTACCTTCTGCAGTGCCTCGTATTTTCCATGGGCTTGCCTGCAAGACCAGTGATTTAACAAGATTGAGTCCAAATCATTTGGTGTTACTGAGCTGTAGCAACAGCTGGGTGGATTAATCAGAAACTGTTGTTACTTGTAGAGAGACAAGTATGTATTGTGATAATTTGGGTTTTCCTTTTTTCAGTGGGGTTGAGCAGTGGCATTATACCTATTTTCAGACCTTGAGAAAGAAATGAAGTCCTTGGCATGATTATGAATGGAACCTGCTTTATCAGGAATGAATAAGTGGCTTGCTGAGAGCTGTCCTCCAAGTTCATCATGTTTAAAGGAGGAATGCACACCAGCTGCAGAGAAGCAATTTGTGGCTTGATTTGTCATAGTATTTCTTAACTTTCTGCTAATTTGGGGAGTGTGGTGAGTTGCAGCAAGCTGTGCTCACTGCTGAGGAAGATTCCAGACCCTTTATGGGGATGAATGAAGGGGGATGACTTTTTATACTCAGCTACAGCAGTGAAATCTCTGGTGAGGCCCAGCACAGGCAGCAAGAGCTTCTCACCTGAAGTCCTGCCTGGGAACCAGCCTCTGCCTCACGTCTGATTGCTGGGTGTGCCTCCTCTGAAGGATCTGGGAAAAAAAGAAAGGCTAATTTGGAGTTCAGGAGCAGCATTCTCATACCCTTTCCTTTTTCTACCTGCTGGTCTAGTATTTCCATAATTGTGTGTATAATGACAGTCTTTTCATTTCATTCATAAAGTGGTTACTGCTTAATGAACTTCATGTTAATGAGCTCTGTAACATTTAAAATAGCTGCATAACTTGAAAAAAAGAAAAAAAAGCCATCAGCAACGAAGGGATGGATTTCCACTCCCCGAGCTTAATCCTGTGTTATAACATAATTGTGGAGAGTTGCCTGGCTGGGAACAGCTGCACAGCGTGGGCTCTCGCTTCTGCAGAGCTCCTTGTCCCTGAGCTGGGGTAATAAATGATTTACTGGGGAGGCTGGGACCTGTGGGCACTTAACCCATTCGTTTCCTGAGGGACCAGCCTGAAAGGTCACTTTGTAAAGGCAGTGGAAAGGAACAGTTTTAAGTGTCTGCAAAATGTGGGTTTTGCATATGAGCGTGCTGCAGGAAGGCTCAGGTGCAGAAGGTGGGGGAGTGGAACTGGGTACAAGCTTGTTTACTTGGATGTTCATTATTTGTTGCTTTAATTTATTTAAAAATGGGGCTTGAATGTGTGTTCTATCTTTTCTGGGCTTGGGATGTAATATTTTCTGTTGCTTGGGGTTTTACTTCCTGTGGGATATTCCTGGTGCAATAGAATGCCCTGGGAGCAGAGCTCTCATTTTCTTTGCAGGGAATGCCACACCAAGTGACTCCATCATTGCAGTTGCTGAGTGAATGATGAGCATTTTTTGAACCTCAGAAAGGATGTTTCAGCAAAATCTCCATGTTCTCTCATTGCCTAAAGTGTATTATTTAGAGAAGAACATTTTCCCATAGTTTTGTGAGTTGAAAGAAGAGGAGCAATTATGAAGAAATAATTTGTAATTCTTCAGTGTCAGATGTGGTCGTGCTGTGCCACAGGGAGTGAGGTTAGCACAGGTACTCCTGTAGGAAACCTGAAGTTTCTGATGAAATTTTCTTCTTCTGGAGTAAAGTGTTAGCCAGGCTTTTCCTGAGTAAGTCTGTGCCTGGGGCCACAGTGGCAGCATTTGCAAAATGGAGCCTAAAGGGAAAAGTGAGTCTGATGTATTCTTCAGAGGAGAAAAGCACATTAAAATGTTGGGCACTGAAGCTTCTTAGACCAAAATGCAAGCAGAAACATGTCTTGCATCTTGGTCTTGATGCCATTTTTTTTCCAACTTGACCTGTGGCTAGAACTCTCTGCTTTGGAGAGTTAAGGTTGGTGCATGACTTTATTAAAATATGCATTGGGTAACTACCTGGTTTGTAAATGCTAGGAAATATTTAATATTTGTCAGCTTTAAAGAGTGTGATGTTTTGGGCTGGATCATGGGTTGTTTTCTACTGCAAGCCTGTGTTTTTGGGAATGCAGTACAAGTGCAGTGGTTTGGGAAGCACAGAAAGAATCAGGGCCTTGCTGCTCAGCCCTAGGGCTTGGGGATGTTTCTTTTACTGAAACCATCATTGCTCAGCATAGTTCCTAAAGTGGAGAAGGTTTTAGGGCATGTGCTGTAGTAAGAAGTGTAGGAATCAATAGTTAGAGGCTTTGCTCACTCCCACTGCACATGTAAGGCTATAGGCATCTCCTTTCTGTTGACAGCTCTCCACTGTGTTTATCCTTTTATGCACTGGGGTGAAATACTCCCCAAAGCCTGTTCTTGCCTCCCTCCATTCTTCACCTTGTCCCATATAATGCATCTCTGTTTTCAAAGATAGCCAGTACCTTGCATGATGCCTCAGCTGCCCAGTTTGATACCTGGGGATTTTCATGAAGTTCCTGGTTAAACCCCAAAGTCAAGAATCACCCCCGCAAACGTGAGGTGGTTCTCATTGAGAGCTTCCCCACAGTTTACTGCCAAAGCATGTATTCAAACAAGAACACCCATAGGAAGGTATAAACTGGATTTTGCTCATTTGAGGAGGCAGCTAGAATGTCTGCTAAGGATTTCTGGAAGTTAATATTTGAGCCTGAGATAAAAGTCTCATGCATACGTGAAACAGCTGCCCCAGAACCTGTTGGAGGACTTAATTTGAGTATAAACATATGTGTGCTCTTGCGTACATGCTGCTCTTTAATTCAAGTCAACTGTTAGGTCTTAACTTTATTAGGATGTAGCTACTTGAACTGAAGATGTGGTCTGTGATTTTTATTTTATTATAGAAGCATGATGCCTCCTTTTGAAACGTTGTTTGGATTTTACAAATCGGTATCTTAAGTACTGTTTGCCTTTAGTAATATATTAGAGGAAAAAATTTACAAGTGAGGGCAGGGTTATATCGGATTACAAGTGAATTGCTTGACAGTATGTGTGTACTGTAAAATGGGGAATTAATCAGCCTGTGTTGATGATCCATGGACATTTACAAAAGGCTGGTCTTTCTGTAGCACAAATAGATTCCGGAAACAGGAAAGAGGCTTATGACAAGAGGATGAGATCAGTTTGTATAATTAGAGCTGGCTAATAATCCTTTTTTACTCTCTGTTTTTCCAACTTTTACAGTATCTTTCTTTATTTGAAATTGGGCATATGAACTGTAAAGAGACAGCTGCTGTGATTTGAGTTTTGTAGGTTTGTTTTTTGTACCTACTAATAGGTGAAGGGATGGAGCAGGTAAATACATTTGAGAGGGATCTCTGCCTTCCCCTACATGGGGAAAACACTGCTTTTATTAAATCAACATTGCTTTGTATCTTCCCAGGTTTTGGGCAGGAATTAAGTAATCCAGGTGATTGTCTTTTTGACAATTATGAGATTGAAATGGTCCAAAAGAAGAAACTTAATGTTGAGACTAAGGGTGTTTGACTCTGGAGTAAGACAGGGCCAGCAAAGCTGAGTTAGGGACTTGCTATAGCATGGATAAAGGTTTTTTTATTTTTTATGTGTGTGTATATCTGCTTGCCTGTATCTTAGCTTTGTGTTACACTTCATTATTTGGGGAAGAGTAATGGGAAAGGTTTGGCTGAGGCAGGTGGTGGGTGCAGCCCCTGGGCAGCCCAGCTCCCAGCCCAGGAACAGTGTGGTGCCAGTTCCTGCTGCCAGGAAGCTGAGCCACATTAAGCAAAGCAAGTTAATCTATATCCAGGGCATTTTATTAAATCATCAGTCAATTAAATTGGTGACGCTCTGTTAGCTTGTGTTGCAGTGAGGCTCCAGCCCCTCTGCAAATGGCTCAGCTCTGCAACCCTCCCACTGCTGCTTGATGGGCTCTGGTACATGCATGCCACAGTACTGTGGTTTCCAACACTGTAAAGGAAAAATCCAACAGATTTTAGGCAGATCTTGCACTTAAATATGTTCTTTAAATTACTTTTTTTCTGGAGGGAGAAGATTGTTGTGAGGTTTCTTTTTGTGAAAGGAATCTGTGTGTGTCTGGTTTTCCTGAGGGTGGGTTGCTGGGTTACCTCTGTGCTGCTGGAGGAGAGTGATGGTAGATCCAGAACAACACAAAACATCTCTAAACCTCCTTTTCATCCCTCCCTTGTGCCCAAGAAACCCCTGTTTTGTCTGTAGTTGAATGGCAGCATATGTTTTTGTTTGCAGACAGTACACAGCTGGGAAGCAGT